ATAACAAATATAATAATAATGAAAAAGTTTGAAGTAGTGCCAAGAATTACCAACATGTGATGCAGACATAAAGTAAGCAAACACTGTTGGAAAAACAGCACAAGACTCCCTTGACGTAGAATTGCCACAAACCTTCAATTTGTGTGAAAAAGAAGCACAATTCAGCGAAACACAAAAAAGCAAGGGATGCCTGTAGTAATGAGGAAGCAAATGGAACTTTCAACACCTTGCTGGTGGGAGCTGAATGGGTCGGTCATGTTGTAAAACTGCATGACACTATTCACTAACGTCGAGCATGTGTATACATAGGGCCCATGAGTTTCTCCCCTAGATGTATACCCAACTGAAACGTATACATGTTGTCTATAAAACAGGTTCCAGGGGCGCCTGGGTGGCTCAGTCGTTAAGCGTCTGCCTTCGGCTCAGGTCATGATCCCAGGGTCCTGGGATCGAGCCCCGCATCGGGCTCCCTGCTCGGCGGGAAGCCTGCTTCTCCCTCTCCCACTCCCCCTGCTTGTGTTCCCTCTCTCGCTGTGTCTCTCTCTGTCAAATAAATAAATAAAATCTTTAAAAAAAAAAAAAAAACAGGTTCCAGAAGGTTCGCAGGAGCCTAACTCAGACAAAAGCTAGAAACAACCCAAATGTTCGTTAACACTAGAATGAATAAACTATGGTATATTCGTATAATGGAGTATCGCACATCAGGGAGGATAAATGAACTACCGCTACCCACAGCAACACAGGTTAGGACTCATATCGAGGTGAAGGAGCCATAAGCAAAAGAGAATATATAGTACTTACAAGAAGTTCAAAGGCAGGCCAGATCATCTATGGTGTCAGGACTGCCAGGTACCTTTGCAGCAGCATGGGGAGTAACTGGAAAGGGATACAGGAGCACTCTGGATTGCTGATAATGTTCCATTTCCCGACCCGGGTTCTAGTTACACAGGTGTGTTCATTTCATAAAAATTATCAAGCTATTGATTTGGGATTTTTGTACTTTCCTGTATGTGTATTATACCTCAGATAAAATGTTAATGAAAGGAGAGAAAGACACTCCACAAACTGACACCACCACATGGACCCATCTATGGGCATCCGAGCCCATCCTCCTTGCCTTCACTCCTGTTACTGGGGCGAACTGTTGTTCATGCTTCTGTCAAAGACAAGCCTTTCCTCCTGTGCCCCCACAGAATTACCCCCTCTCTTCACAAGGATGCCACTCTGGTCTCTCGTCTCGTTCCTACACCTTTTCTCTCGACTAGATCTTTCCCATCAACCTACAAACACGCTCTCACTTTTCTAATTTTTAAGACCACCTCTCATCCCTCGCTGTAGTTTTTCCCCTTCTCTTAGGCTAAAGCAAAACTCAAAACAATTATCTATACTTGCTGATTCCAGATTTGTTCTAATACTCTTCTTTGAACCACTCCAATCATGTTCTCACCTCCATGCTCCACAAAGGCTGATCTTCTCATCCACTGTTAAGTCCAACGGTCACTTCATCATCATCTTCCATGATTTTCAGCCGCTTGAGGCATAACCATCAAACTCCCTCTTTCTCAAATCACTTTCTCCTCTAGGCTTCCAGAACACTGCATACCCAATATGCCTTCTACCACACTAGCTGCTTCGTTCCAACTTTCTTTTATGGGTTCCACCTTATCTCCCTGACCTCTCATTTTGGAGACCCTCAGAACTCATCTGGGGGCTTCTTCTCTGTTTTCTTATCCAGTGTCATATACACCCTGTGTAAGTGGAGGAATGCCAATAAAGTGTCTCCAGTCTGGATCTTTCTCCCACTCAGGTTCCTCACACATTCGTCTCCTCAGCATCTCTACCCAGATGTCTAACAGGCATCTCCAATTTTCTATGTGCAACATCAAACTCCTGTCTTCCCCTAAGAACCCACTGACCGATTTCCCATCTTGGTTAATGGAAACCATCCTTCCAACTGATCATCAGGACAGAACCCTTGGAGACATTCTTAACTTTGCCATTTCTCTCATAAACAAACAACCTGTCAGCAAATCCTCAACCTTCAGAGCATTTCCAGAATCTGACCACTGTCACCATCTCCACTTCTGTAACCCTGGTCTAAGCCAGTATCGCTAGGTGCCAGGATTATTGCCATAACCTCCTAGCTGGCCTCCCTTCCCCCCCAACACACACACACAACCAAACCCCCCGCCAGTCTGTTCTCGGTGCATTAAAATGTTAACCAGATCATGTCAGTCCTCTGCTCAAAACCTTCGGGTGGCCTGTTTCGCTCAAAGACAAACTCCATGTAATAGGGAAGTAGACCCTTCTCCCCGTACTGTTACCCTACTCCATGGCCTCCTTGCCATTCCTCAAATGAGGCAGACCAGCTCCTACTTCAGGGCCTTGCAAGTCTCCTCTTGGCCTAGAGGCTCTTCCATTTATCCTCAGGGATCATACCTTCATCCTTTTCAGATCTTGACTCAAATGCCACTTTTTCATCGAGGGCCTCCCTGCCCACAGCTTTTACAATGTTAAGCACTCTCCCTTTCCACCCCACTCTCCGAAGGTCTCCATCACTTGCTTCAATTTCTCTCTAGCACCGCCTCCTTCTAACGTAAGTATGTATGACTTATCTGCTGACAGGCAGTTTCCTGACAGTATGTGAACAACAGGAGCTTGAGGATTTCTGTTTTGTTGACTGCTCTATCCCCCAGTGTCATGAACAATGCCCAGTAAATAGTAAGAGCTTAGTTAATATTTGTGGAATGAACACAGGAGTTATGTCAATCCTTGTCAGAGGCTTCATAGAGATGGGAACTATATCTTAAGCATCTTTGTAATAAATGACTGACTGAATGGAAGAAAGAAGAACAGGCCTTCAGTCCAATTAAGGTACTTAAGGTAGGCAGTGTATTTAATTGTTCTTTCCATTTTTATTTTTAAATTTTCTTTAAAGATTTTATTTATTTAAGAGAGCGAGAGAGAGAGCACAAGCAGGGGGAGTGGCAGGCAGAGGGAGAGGGAGAAGCAGACTCCCCACTGAACAGGGAGCCCGATGCGGGGCTCCATCCCAGGACCCTGAGATCACGACCTGAGTCAAAGGCAGAGGCTTAATCAACTGAGCCACCCAGGCGCCCCTGTTCTTTCCATTTTTAATGCAAATACTTGATCTCCCCATATAAATCAGGCCATTTGTTTCCAAACAACTGTTGGGATTGTTATCAACTACCTTTTCTTCCTTCCTTACATTTTCACTCAATCAAGAGCAAAGATTACAATAGGCAGAGTGTGCAACAAAATATAGTTATTAAAGCAATGCTTACCAAATCAAAGAGAGGAAATATTCAAACTTTGAGAGGTAATACAAACATCATTACTCAACTCACTTATGATTGTTCTTGATCAAAGTTTAAAGAAACAGGTATGACTCAGGAAGGAAAAATCAATAGATATGATAGTTTAATCATATGATTTCTAAAATACACTAAACAAATGAGGGAGAAATTTGACCCTTCTGATATGAAGACCTCATGTTATTAAATAAAGAGCACCTCCTATTCACCCGAATATATTTCTAGACAAAATTTCAGTGCTTGGAAAATTCCAACAACTTATTCCCCCCCCCAAAATGACAAGTTCACATTTTTATCTTTTTAATTTATATTTCAAAATTACAATTTATTTCACACTAAAACTTATAGAGGAAGTTGACCATGAGACCAAAGACCTGAGGTCTTTTCTCAGAACACATGCACTCAGGGGAACATGTGCCCACTTCCCACAGCAGCAGGGCACCACCTTCCAACCTCCCCCCACCCCCCAGGAGGAACAGGGACAGTCACAAAGGCTAGTAGGTGGAGAGGCCCATGATCCCCACAGCTGGGGACGGACCTCACAGGGCTCATCTGCTGAGCACGTGACCATTCACTGGTCATCTCTGGTGGGGCTGGGAGCAAGGGGAGGAGGAAGAATACTGCAGTGTAGGTAAGGTGGAGTGGCGATGCCCATTACCGGAGGAGTACAACCTTACAAGTAACAACTTATAAATACAAGATTCACTGTGTCAGACACAGTGATAACTATGTCAGAATACGTGGATTGCAGGGAAAGTCGACTGAGAGAAAACTTGATTAAGTGAATCACAATCAGAGATGAACACGTTAGTGACATCATGACATCACAGGATCATTCAACTTGTGCATACATCCCTTTTCCAGAGCACAGTGCAAGCAGAAGATCAGCTGCGCTCTGTATAAGGTATGCCTGTCTTTTTATATAACATCCCTCGCCCCTCACAGACAAAGAGCCAATTGCCTTCCAATTGTCTGATACTTGTCTCTGGAGCTTCAGAAAGAAATCTTTCACTGGGTAACATTTATTGGGGGTGGGGGAGAGAATACACACACAACGGTCTCCCCACAAGGAAATGTATAAATCCCAGAACTACAAATAGTGACACTTCCATTCCTATACTTAAGACAGACGTTTGACTGACAAGGCCTAACTTGGGATGCCCAGACTTCCTGCTTTAGCAAGATGGTCCTAGTTCATTCTTGTTTCCCAACATAACTATCACTAGTGCAGCAACCTGCCCCCACTGAAATGTGTTCCCGTTTGGACAATAAATTATATGGTGGCCTTACCTAAATCACTATTATCTTTGTTATAGAACATTAAGCTTTGGCTGTGAAGCTGGCAAATTAGTGCTGTTAACTGTCTCATAAGGATATGGGTGGTCAAATTGGTTAAACTGCCCTGCTTTTTCCCTTACAGAGAAGTCATGAATCTGTCAATGTAAACGAAATGAGGAGGGCTTTTAATAATGAAAGAATCAGTTCTGTTCCTCAATATTCTTTTGAATCTGCTATTTAGACACCCTGCCATGAGCACTTTGGAATAATGGAGATTAGTTACGAGAAAAAGTTTTCCACTTTTATCTTATTTCTGGCTTACTAGACAAAACGCAGAGGTAAGGGCTTTGAATCAAGAGCTATTTATTTTTAAGTTAATAATACAAAAGGCCCTCTTTCCATTAAAGTCCCACCCCACCCCCACTACCAAGCCTAGAATTATTAGAACCAGCGTCTCCACAGAGTAGAAAAGCAGACACCAAGCATTCAACTGAAATCCGGGTCCCCTGCCACACTGCCCTCCCTTCCTCTCCCAAATAGCTGGCTCTGACTCTGACTCTGTGAGAATGTCAGTGGGGAAGCTATTAGGAGTGGGGTGAGTGCACACCCAGTGTTCACCCGGGACAGCAAGTTGTAAGGCAGGAGATCTACTTACCCACACTCCCATAGCAACCCCCTGACTTGGGGATGCCAAGGATTCCAGAGCCCCGGTGCCCCACCCCACTGTCCCAGCACCCCCTGGGCATGTTTGCACATGTTCCTGCCCCACAGGTAGCACTTCTCTGATAAGGTATCTCAGAGTTCAGTCCCATAGATGGCCTTATAACGTAAGCACTCTTCTAAGCACTGAAGAACATTGTCATCCACCTTTGGGTCAAACTTGTTAGCCAACAGGTGATGGTTTTGAAGAATCCAATGCAGGTCCCCCGTCCCATAAACACAGACAGACCGCTGGTGGGTTCCAGAGCAAGGTGCATAAGGTGCCCCCATACTGATGTCTCCCTCATGGCCTTGCCACTTGACCAGCCTGGCAATGGCTGTCATGTCGGAGATGTGAAACTTGGGGTGGTAGGGAATAGAACCCGGCATCCATGGTGCACGCTGAAGGGTGGCCCACAGATGTTCATCGGGGCTATAGGTGTCTTTCACCCACTCGATCAGTCTTTGGGACTTGGGGTTCTCCAAGACGTGCTGGACAAAGTCTCGAGAAGCCACAATATAGGCATTCCCTGTGAACATAGGTATATTATCCGGGGGAGGATCCTTCATCTTGCTGGTTATGTGCAATGTGTCTGTCACCTCATAGTGATATGTCCAGCGAGACCTTTTGTACTCAGTAGGTATTTCTGACTCCATACTGTTCTTCCCATTCAACATCTTGAGGGCCAGGACCATCTCGGCATTGGTCTTTATAGGAAAGTCCGTCCCACATGTATTCAGTAAGTATCTCCATGGCACTGAGCTCTGGAGCAAGTCCTCCATACAGTTTAGGTCAGCCTGCACCCTGGACCAGGAGGCATAAACCACCCGAACCAACTTACTGGCTATGAAGACATTTGGGAAGCACGACACAATCGCCTTGACTGCCTCTTTGAAAGTTTCTGGGGATTTCTCATCCACGTGGACACAGTATATGTTCTGAGGGGCATACAAAGCTCGCAGCAGTCTTTCGAAGTTCTCGATCTTCTCGTGGACCACCATAGAGTATGCAATAGGGAAGTCTAACTCTTTTTTGCTCAGAGGGAACCGTATGAACTTCCTTTCGGCCTTAAAGTGCTCACAGTCTCTGGTCATGTTAAGGTAGTCGGTGTCTGTGAAGGGCTCCCGCTTCTTCTTGACCTCCAGGTTGTCCAGGAGAGCCTCCGTCACTGCCTGCTGGTCCCCTCGGATGATTCCAGAACAGTTGATGGATCTCTTTGCTGGCAGCTTCAGGGACTTGTACAAGATGTCCCTACAGTGCTGGCTCCAAAAGTCCCTGGACTCCAGATCCAGGGACTCAAAGTCACATTTCAACCTGAGAGAAAACCTCAGAGCAACCACAGCCAGCAGCATATAGCAGCCCAGGGCCCACAGGTGACGCTGCTTAAAGGGCTTCTTCTTCCACCAAACCATCTTCACGGAATGAGAAACCAGCAGAGTTGGGGCACAGGGAAGGAGGAGATGGATGGAATCCTTGGACAGAACAAAATGCCTTCAATTACAAACTGACCCTGAATGTATTCACAGAAACATCAAGCTCAACTCCAAAGGGGTATTTCTTCTCTAGACAAATATCCTCAGTCAAGACCTGCCTAGGAACCTCTTATCCCTGGCTTGTTGACAGAGGTCTATAATCTGACCCTACAAACAAGCCATTCACGCTGGGATCAGGATCTGGCCCCACCTCTGCCCCAAGAGAAAAGGAAAGGGAAGCAGAACTGAGCACCTGCTGACGTTGAGGTGTTAAGAGTAAGAGGAAGTCCCTGCCCGCCTTTCATCCCATCATCTCCCCCGCCCAACCCTTTACCACCCTGTTTCTAACATATCTCTTATCTGGGGCCTAGAACTCCTAATGTCTAGAGAGACACTCCATGAAATTCAGACTCTCAGCATCTGTTCTAGAAATCCAAAGATTTAAATCTTTTAAAAGAAAAAGTATAGGGGCATCTGGCTGGCTCAGTTGGGACAGCATGCAACTCTTGATCTCAGGGTCATGAGTTTGAGCTCCACGTTGGGTGTGGAGATTATTTAAAAATAATTAAACTTTTAAAAATAAATAAATAAAATAAAAAGTACATTTCTTGCTTGTGTTTGGCAATTTGTGTATTAGGCTGCTTTCACCACATAGAATTCATTGGTTAATTTGCAACGACGTGGATGGAACTGGAGGGTGTTATGCTGAGTGAAATAAGTCAGTCAGAGAAAGACATGTATCATATGACCTCACTGATATGAGGAATTCTTAATCTCAGGAAACAAACTGAGGGTTGCTGGAGTGGTGGGGGGTGGGAGGGATGGGGTGGCTGGGTGATAGACATTGGGGAGTGTATGTGCTATGGCGAGTGCTGTGAATTGTGCAAGACTGTTGGATCACAGATCTGTACCTCTGAAGCAAATAATGCAATATATGTTAAGAAAAAAAAAAGAAGACAGCAGGAGGGGAAGAATGAAGGGGGGGAAATCGGAGGGGGAGACGAACCATGAGAGACGATGGACTCTGAAAAACAAACTGAGGGTTCTAGAGGGGAGGGGGGTAGGGGGATGGGTTAGCCTGGTGATGGGTATTGAAGAGGGCACGTTCTGCGTGGAGCACTGGGTGTTATGCACAAACAATGAATCATGGAACACTACATCCAAAACTAATGATGTAATGTATGGTGATTAACATAACAATTAAAAAATTAAAAAAATTCATTGGTTAGATGTGGTATCTAGCCACCCTTTTTAAAAAATGTTCTTAAAGAAGTACAAAAAATTGGATATGATCCAACAAATGCATTGGAATCATTCATAGAGATAACTCAGTCCATCCAAATTTTAAAATATATCTACACTCAGAGACACACAGAGCTATGCATATACAATAATTAATGAGTGCTTTCTATGGGCCAGAAATATTTCTTTACATTGTCCAATTTAATCTTCACAACGTACCTGAAGTGGAGTATTACTAGGCCTCTTTCACAGATAGGAAAACAAATGCTAAATAACTTGCCAAGTATCATGTATGTTTTAAGAAGCAAATACGGGACTCATCCCCAGTTTTTTTGTCTGCAAGGCCAATACTTCTTCCTTCAAACCATAGCCACCTTTTAAATAATACAATACAGGGTTCTGGATACCAATTAAAGAAAACCAGATGATATAAAGAAAAAATCCCTTACAGGAGAGAAACAAAATGTGACAAATCCTCCCGACAAAGACTGTTTTCCTTTGTTGTGTCCTCTTTCTAAGCATAATATGGTGTCCTTCTTGTTCGTAACTTTTTATGGGACTCTAAGAAGAAGAAAAAAATGAAAGATTAAGAAAATTCTCACCTTTTTAATAGTTTTGTTCTTGCTTAGGAAAGATCACTTGCCAGGGTGTATGTGTCTCCAAGGGAAGATTGATTGGAATCCAATGGAAGCAAATGTGAACACCATATCCCCTTCTTCTAACCCCTCCAAAATATGGTTTCTGATATTCACAGGAGGTCCACGAACAGTCTCAGGCTCCTCCTCAGTCTCTGCAAAGGAGTGAGCCGCAGGTGGCTCTATCACTCACCTTCCAACTTCCTGCTCTCAGCTAAGAGCACAAGCTCACAAGTATTCAGGAGCATGTTCTCAAGAACTAGTCATTCAGGGAGGTGAATAAGGCAGTAAGAAAATGCCGGCAGTATCTTCAAGCAGGTATTTCTTTCGTTTTTTTTTTTTTTTTATTTAAGATTTCATTTATTTATTTGACACAGAGAGAGCAAGAACAAGCAGGGGGCATGGCAAAAGGAGAGGGAGAAGCAGGCACCCCGCTGAGCAGGGAGCCCCACATGGGGCTCAATCCCAGGACCCTGAGATCGTGACCTGAGCCAAAACCAAGATTCGGACGCTTAACCGACTGAGCCACCCAGGTGCCCAGCAAACAGGTATTTCAACCAGAACAGCCCAGTTTGTAACGATGCTCTCCTGCCACAAAACCATTCATAAAAACCTGTCAATGCTCGGGGCACCTGGGTGGCTCAGTCGTTAAGCGTCTGCCTTTGGCTCAGGTCATGATCCCAGGGTCCTGGGATGGAGCCCCGCATCGGGCTCCCTGCTCAGCGGGGAGTCTGCTTCTCCCTCTCCCACTCCCCCTGCTTGTGTTCCCTCTCTCACTATGTCTCTCTCTGTCAAATAAATAAATAAAATCTAAAAAAAAACAAAAAACAAAACAAAACAAAAACCTGTCAATGCTCACACAAGAACTTGAAAGCTTTCCCACCCCATACCCCTCAGCAAGGAACCACAGAAACACAGGCATGCCCCTGGAATCCAAGTATCACTCCTCTTTTGTTCCCTGAACATTACAAGAGTGAAGCAATAAAAACAAAAACAAAAAACCTTTTTTATACTTAAAAGTTTTTACAAATTTTTTTACAAAAAAACCCACCCTTTTTACTTAAAAAAAAAACATTGCTTAAAAAAAAACCTTTTTTTTACTTAGAAAAAGTTTTTACTTAAAAACCAGAGTTTGTTCTCCAAATGACAATTGCTTAAAAAAAAAATCCATTTACCTGTCATTCATTATTGTTAATAATCTGTGAGTTGTAGAAATACCCACAGGGTTCCAGTTCTCCCTGATGTCTGTGAGTCTAAGGTCTTGGCAGTGGAAGGAATGGACTAGTGCTATGGACCTCCGGACTTCAGTAAGAACCCCATGGGGTGGTTTGGGAAACACAGGGTGGAAAATGCCTTCTTCAAAGCTGCTCACTCTGTTTGCCACTGTTTCTCTCCTGAACCCAACCCCCGCTCTAACAAAGCATTCCTGGCCAAATATTTGAGGGAGCAAATTTAATATAAAGAACTTAACTAGATATAAAGTTTAATAGATAACTGTAGAGCAGAGGGAGGGGGTGTTAGAACACCCTAAATTAGGGAAGTAGAAATTGCTGGAAGTAGCTACCACTCCTAGGCTGGAGGAAGGAAGACAAGATCGGGGAATTTTTTTATTTAAAATTTGGGAAGAAGGGTGCCAACAAGCTGAAACTCAAGACCTGTCAGATGGGTACACCACCAACTACTCAACTGGTGCTGGGGTCTCTGACCTTGCAGGAGGACCCAAGGCTGAGATCCCAACCTCTCCCGAGGCGGCTGACGTCTCTGCCCACCGTTACTGTAACTGGATTCAGTGCAGTTACATAAAGAAACTGCCCCTGGGAGATAAACAGACGTTGACATGGTGATGCTCACAGAAACAGGAAGTGATGGACAGCAAGCGAGCAGGAAATCCCGCCTCCAGCCCCACCGGCTCCCTCCAGCGCCCCCTGTAGGCCGAACCTTATAGGGGGGCAGAGCCGGCAAAGCAGAAATCTTAACTGATTCCAAAATGTGGGCTTCATCTGAAGACAATAGCATAATAACGGAGATCGGTCACAGTTACCTTCTTCCTACAAGAATTATTTATGCGGCCCCCAGTACAGCCTAGGGAACTTAGGTCTTTTCTTTTTTGGGGGCTCTTCTGTCTGTTTCTGACTATAGATGGAGACAGGCCAACGGCAAGGGAGCCATATCGGGCCATCTGTGCTCCCGCGTTTATTGGCCCTGCTCCACTGGCTCTGTCTTCTGTCAGCTTCCATCATTCAGAGCCTGTGTGGCTCTCGGTTTTGAGCTGTGACATTTCTGAGGCAAACAGGATTAAAGGGCAAACGCTTGTTTGGGTATCTCAATCTACAAAAATCTCTCCAATTTCTTTATATATGACTTTTCTTTGATGGGCCCCTCAAAGTCCCACCTTCTTTCCCATAAAAATCATTATCACAGAATCTCTCAATAAAAAGAAAATATTTTGAATATTTGATTGTTAAGGTAACCAAAATAGGTATCCATGCTTATTTGCTAAATATATGCTAATGTAACATTAACACCTTGTAAAATAAGACAAAATCAGAAAGGGAGACAAACCATAAGAGACTCTTAACTCTAGGAAACAAACTGAGGGTTGCTGGAGGGGAGGTAGGTGGGGGGATGGGGTAACTAGGTGACAGGCATTAAGGAGGGCACGTGAAGTAATGAGCACTGGGTGTTATATGCAACTGATGAATCACTAAAGTCTTCCCCTGAAACTAATAATACACTCTATGTTAATTGAATTTAAATTTTAAAAACATTAACAAATTGTAGATATAGTTTGCTGAGATAACCTTCATATTAGTAATACCAAGTGGGTAGTAGTTACAGTCTTACCTGGGTTTTGGCAAGACAGAGCGAGGTCTGAATCCTGGCTCTGTCACTTTCTAGCTGCGTGATCATGGGCAAATTCTGTAATCTGGCTATCTATGCTTCACTGACTTCCTTTGTGTAACTGGGACTAATACCAATACCTGTTTTATAGAATGGTTGTGAGGATTAAACATGGTAACACGTATGAAAGACTTGGCTTAATACCTGGCATATGTAGGCCCT